GTGCCGGGAACATCATGTAAGGCGCGTGCGCGGCCAGGTGCGGATGCAGGTGGTGGTGCGCGTGCGCCACGGCGCTGTCCAGCTGCAGCTGCGCCTGAACCTGAAAGGACAAGGGCGTCACGTTGCAATGACTATCCTAGGGTGACAACAGAATAGAAACAGAACATTAACTTGGCTATGGGGAGAATTGGGGTGCGCGACAGGGAAGCTACATTTTGCTAAATATCTGTTTGGAGAAGGACATTATAGGCTTTTTGATAATGTGGGGCATCACATTAATATTCTAGTGTCCCATCCCTACCCCCAGTCATTATGAGGATGCTTACTTGGGTTCCTCATCCCTGTCTAAAGGAATGTTGTGGCCCCTTCTGGAACTGGGTGGGTAAGTGGACCGTGACAGAGTCCCCATGCATCACCCATCTCAACATAGCAATAATATCTTGGAAAGTCTAGGGATAAGGACTGTTACCCTCCTCTCCTGTCTCTGTCACATACACCTCGGGCACAGTACTAAAACAAAATATGTAACTTTTTTGTCACTTAGGGAAGTTATCACATCTGCAGGTCTTGACTTTCCCTGCCATAAGAATAACCTGAGGATCTTTTTCCAATGCTGACTCTAGTCAGGAGATCTAGTCTGGGACTTAGTCTAAGTTTCTAATAATCTCAGTGCTGCTGATTCTGCTGGCCTGAAGATCTCTATCTTCTTAGTAGGGCCAGTTTCCTAGTAAATTCTCTCTCTCTCTCTCTCTCTCTCTCTCTCTCTCTCTCTCTGGCGCTCTCTCCTTCAAATACCTTCCCAACAGATCCAAGTGCCCAAGTGTCTTGTAGTGAGTCGGGGAAACTCATATCTCTAACTCTAATTCTCCAGTCTAGGGTACTGGTGACTGAGAGCTCATCTATGACATTACAGCCTTGGTGAGCAGGGATGCCTGCTGAAGATGGGAAGGTCAGAGAGTAGTAAGGAAAGGATTTTGCCCTGGGGCTTAGAGAGTGGGGAGTTCAGAACACTGGGATTTCCCAGGATTAAATCATTGCTGCAGGCTCTCCTTTAAAAAAAAAAAAAAAAGTTGTTCTAAAGGTTTTTTTAAAGGGCTCAGAAAGGGACAGCCAAGGTAGGGCAGCCAGCCCTGGGAAGACTAAGTCCTCCTTCTCTATCAGAGAGGAAGCCTTTTTCACAAGGACAGCTTAAAAAAAAAATAGTCGGAGTTGGGAATAGCTGCATTTATTTTTCTTCTGCCAAGGACATCTAATGTGGCTAGGGGGTAAAAAACACCTAGAAAGAATATTTAGAGGATTGCTTTTAAAACACCTTTGGAGCGGCCTTTGTATTTGATTTGACACAATCCTAATCAAAGGCTGTTCCTTCCTCTCCCCAAGTGCAATCTTAAATGCATTTTTTTAAAGGACAGGTTACTGCCTTCAGGCTCCTTCGGGGTTCCTATGAAAACAGAGAGCATTGAGTATTTGAGGCCATGACACTGTATAGGTTTTTAAAGGAGAGTGGGGCTACTATATAGTCTTGAAATTAGTTCTTCAACTGAATGTACACTGAGGCTCAGAGACAGGGTCTGCTCAACAGTCCAAACAAACATCCAGACCCTTTAACATTTACAAACAGCTTGAAGCTAGGTTGTACTTGCCTGCTGGAATGGCATCCTTAAAGCACCTACGTTGACATAGGGTGCAACTCTACAAGCTTCAAACTGGCTAGCAGCCCCTATAAGGACACCTATAAAAACAACAACAAAAAAGGAAAATGAAACACAAGAAGTGAGGTAACTATTTCTTGTCAAATTTTCCAGTGTGTCAAGTGGTAGCAAGATAGAACCGATTCTATTAGAACCGGGCTGTCATTTTTCTAAATTGCTGCTATAATTAAAATAAGTTATAGTTGGTTTCTAAGTAGTATGACTTTCATGAACTGTCCAGAAATTTTTCTTAAGTCATGTACTATCATCATCCTTAAGATGTTTATTTTCTTTCTTAGAGCAACCTCGCCCCACTTCCCACTTTCACTAAGTAATAAAATGCATTATAAGACATACCTTTATGAAGTTGATTTTCCTGTTTTCTGCACTTAGCTCTTCGATTCTGAAACCAAACCTACAAGTTGACAGAGAGAGGTAAAAACACATAAAACTTGATGATTCAAAACATTTTAACACCTTAAATTATAGTAGTGTAATGAAAAAAAAAGTAGTGTTTAGGCCAGTCTTGGGATATGAAAAGCAAATCTTAAATTATACAAAACAGCCTCAATTTCCAAAATGAGAAATGTAAATCAAGTACAAAATAGAAAGATGCCTAGAGTCTTTGTAAGATAAATTGTTCCTTGATAAATTACTATTAGTTCTGGTTTCATCTTTCCACATTACAGAGTCCCAGGGGCCTAAAACACTCCCTGGTACCTGACACCAATGTGATAATGGGTTTAAATGTTTACCCAGTTAAGACCCAAGAAGAATGGACTCAGTAATAGCCTGTAATATTAATTAGCTTCATCTTGAAAGAAAAAACAAACAGTAAAGCAAATAAGGACTCTTATTTTGGTGGGGGGAGGGGTATTGGGGTAATTAATGTCATAAAAGCCTTACTACAAAGAAGTTTAGAATTTCTATGTCCCTCTGTGTAGCAGAGTGTAACATAGTGGCAGAATAATTGTGCCATTATCATGATAATCTAATTTGTTTCTATAGAAAAAGCCACTGCCTACAGTTAGGACAGTAGGAAAGATTTCAGAAAATAGCTCCTGTAACTTAAATGAAAGTATGAGGGGGAAAAAGAGCAGCAATAAAGTTAAAAAAAAAAAGTGAGTCACAGAAAGGAGAGGTGGGGAATGAATCAAGTATTCCCGGGGATGTGATGTTCTTAAATAACTTGCCAACTTTTCAAGTCAGTGTGACAGTGTTTTTTTTTTTTTTTAATTCAAATAAGGCTTGCTTTTTAACACTCTAGTTCCAATAATACAGCATATTGGTTGATTCACAAATTAATGTTTAAAAAATAACATGAAAAGAAAATATTGCTTTAGAGCCTTTTCTGGTAAGTTTTTGAACCAAGTGCCATAGTCTATGTAAATCTTCAAAAATTCTCCTGATATTGAGTATAATAGAAGAGTGGATTTCATGCCAGGGTGGCATCCTTTGTGTGACTCACATGGCCTGAGGCTCCTTGACTCCCCACCCCCCCAAGAGTTGGAATGGAGATACTATTACTCAGGGCTGCAATAATTATCACGGTTTTAAGGGGTTGCAGTCTCTAGAGAGCTCAATGCAGGCTGCAAAGCAGAACAGGCTTAAAAAGGAAGGCTCTAGGATTGACGTCGTGATGACCAAGGAGGCCTATTATTATTTTTTCTCTGTCCACGTTACTGCTCTGTTTTTTCCCCCTGATCCTATTACAAGATGCGGGGAAGCCCCAAAAGAATTGTGCATAGTTCCTTACAGATGGTGGTCTCTCCGCCCAGAGACCCAGGGAGTATCTGTTACAGCGATACTTTGTAACAGCTGCAGATGTTCTAGGCTAAAACTGCTCCATGTGTTCAAACAAATAATGACCATCATTTTCTCCCAATTTTATCATTTGAGCGGAAATACAATCTGAAACGTTTAAATTTGTTCCCCATAAAGCTGGAAGGATATGTATGTGTGTTTATAATTCCCCCTTTAGATTACCCTTAACCCCACTTCTTGGTTTTACACTCACCTAAGCAACCAATAATGAAAAAAGCTGCAGTTCTGACTTCATGTAATATGGCACTCTCTGAAGGTTAGACTTTGCAAACATCAATAATAAGATGTGTACCTTGTTTTAAAATCGAGTTTTCGTGGGTTCGGGTTCTTTGCTTTGGTTAAGTGAAGGAACAAAGAGTGGACAAATACATTCCGTGTCCTCTGTTTCACACTCGGTTAGAGATAGACCCGCTAACAGACACTGTAAATTTTTGCACTTAACAGATGCTAATTTTCTTTATAGTCCGTACATCTATAAACCTAATTGGTATATCCGTTTGGCAAACCCAAGATCCTCAACGAAACCCAACTCCAGAGAGCAAAATACTTATTGTAACTTTTAAGGCTTCAGAGATAAAACGTTTTCTGTGGGATTTATTTAAGGCTTATAAAAGTAGGCCCATTAGGATTAAACCACATTAAAGACAGCACGAGGCGAGGGGGGGTGTGGTTAATAGAAACTCTGGGAGCAAGCCCAGCGCAGCTTTCTTCTTCAGCGAACATATGTTGGTTTAGAGGTGAAGGGGACTACGGGATCAAAATCCATTTTAGAAAAGAAGACATCCAACAAAGATATTCCTCCCTTTCTCATTTCACACCCAACACCTGCAGCAGCAGCCTGAAGAGTGTCCCCTAAGCTGCCTGCAAACTTTGCTCTAGCTCTTGGGGCCCAACCTCCACCTCCTCGCAGTGGGGTACCTGTACTCGGGCCTCAGATAGTCCCAGTCGCTGGCTCAGTTCCTCGCGCATGAAAGCGTCTGGATAGTGGGTCTCATCGAAGAGCCTCTCCAGCTCGTTGAGTTGTTCCAAGGTAAAATTGGTTCGACTTCGCCTTTGCTTGATTTTGGTCTGGCCTTCGTCCTCCATCCCTTTCGCATCCTCTTTGCGATCCTTCAATTCGGGGGACACTGGAGAGGGCACGACGGAAGGACCACACGTGCGTCGGAGCACGCACCAACACACACACACACACACACACACACACACACACACACACACACACACAGCAAGACAAGCCCATTACCAGATTTGTCCAAAGGAAGGCTAGAGGCTCCTAACCCTTAGCGGGAGGGATCCCCATGAAGACCCGGCGAGAGGATAGGGGTCCAGGAGACCCGCAAAATCATGTCTGTAGGACCGTCTGGGGACAAGGTAGGCATGCAGCCACCCAACTGAACTGTGGTCTCAGCTCACTACCTGTGCCCGTCCCCTCTTCTGCCAACATCAAATGTATTCCTGACCCTCTGGCACTCACTGCTCCACGCACTCACGGAAATCAAAAGCGCCTCGCTGGCCTCTCGCTGAGCGCGGTCTTGGTTAAAGGGCGCGGCAAGGCCACGCGATGGCCTCACAAGCTAGCCATCCCCAGAGGGCTGTTCTGCTGTCCCACCAGCCTCTGCTGCCTCTGGCCCATTGCCTCCCGCAAACTTGCTGGTCTAATTTAAGAACAACTGGGCCCGCTGAAAGGTCGCAGCAGGAAAACGAGACACTGGTACTGCGAGGTGTAGAAAGTCACGTCCCCGGGCACCCTAGAGCCCGGACCAGACCCCTAAGGATAGTTCCATCAGCAGCTAGACAGGCCCTGTACTCCCTGCCAGACCCGGGTCGAATTGGCACAGGCAACCACGCCATGTTGGAGGCCTAGAGGACTGGCTGTCCACGCTGGGCCCAGAAAGGTAGAGGCGGCAAACCAGACAGACTCTGGTGGTCAGCAAAACCCACCGCTGCTTCTGTCTTCTTCTCCCTCCCCGGTGGAAACCAAGGAGGGACCCTAAAGGCTTAAATCCACTGAGATCAACAGGTTCAAGAAGAACATTCCTCGGTTTCTATTGGCTGTTAAAACCTTTTCATGCATCTAGCAGCTCGGATGTTTAATAAAATATGCATTTCTTTGCACATATCCGTTGCTACTTTGCGGTTCTTTCCTTCCACGTAAAAGATAGGAGCTCTTTCAGTTCGAGCAAACAGAGCCATAGGAAGGATGATATACAAGTATGCCAAAGGGCAACGATGAGGAATGCTAAAGTCAGGCCCATATCAATATAAGATCCACCTAACCTTCATCCTTTGTGCCTGATTTGGAGATGGGTGTCCAGTGTCAAAGCTAAGTTTAGATAGTAGAAGCTATTTACGATTTCTCCCAACTCAGGATACGGATCAACATGGAAAAAGAAAAACTATGTCTGGAACCAGCTAAGCTACAAAGAAATTAACACTTGCCCTGAGCTTGGAAGTCAACAACCCCAGGAACACGCTCTCCCAGCCTTCAGATCTTGTGGTTGGTGGGCTATCTAACCCAAGTCCCTGAGCTGTGAACCCTGGGGGTTACTCTCAGCCCTTTTATAGTTATCCTGTCACTTTTAAATTAAGGAGGACATAGTCCCGGATCTGGGAGAAGACAAACAGCCACATCTCGCCCCAGCCTGGCATTCTATACCATAATCTTATTTGTCGCCCTTATTTCTGCTGCTCAATTTGTGAACGTTTGTCCTTCCCCCAGGAAGGAAGTAGATAAGGTCACAGCAAACATTAGGGGGTCAATTCAATAGGAAAATACTCTTGCTAACATCGTAGTAAAATTTAAACAGGAACACATATTCTTCAGCTAGGAAGAGGAAGGCTTTTGTCTTTGTCACCCAGAGAGTAGATACCCCTCAAAGTTTAGGGGCTTCAAAGAGAAACAAGTCCAAATTTCAAGTTGATTAATAGACTTAATATAATGTCTCTTTCGCCCCGACTTTCCACTTAATGGCCTAAACAGGAACAGACCGTGTTATAAACAAGTTAATTGCTTGCTTAAATTTGTGATTCTACGCATGCCACATATTTTCTTAATTGGAAAAATATGGCAGCACACCAGTTACCGCAGTACCCAGTGCTAAATTAATTTTTAACTTCGAATTGATAGACGCTTTCCCGTTTAGATAAAGCCCTTCTCCAACACTGCTGGCTCCAAAAGACACCCCACCAACACACACACACACACACACACACACACACACACACACACACACACACAAGCACTGAAAGAAAATAGGCAGCACAAGTACTGCAAGATTCTAGGCAGTAAAGAAATTGTGTACATAGTGCACCCCCACCCCCACCCCACGTACATCCCACAGACTCCTCGATGCTTCCACTGAGAAAATCAGCCTGGCCTGAACCTTTGACTGCCTTCTACCTTAATAGCTCAACGAAAATGTGAAGTTTGGTCCCCAAGATCTAGAGATTTGGGGGCTTTGCAGAGTTAACAGTGGTTTTGGTGGCAGCTCTAAAGAAGGGGCAACCTCGCATGGTTCTTCTCTTTCTCTTTTTCCCCTTCTCTACTCTAGGCCTAGGAAAGGGGTTCCGCCAAACTCAAGACTACACGCTAGTCACAACTGGCCTCCTGGTGAGCTCCTGCCGCACCCCCTCTCGTAGCGGGCCGCAAACTTCCTTGTCCCGCTGCATGGCCAGATCCTCTCGCTCGGGAAAAATGCATTTCGGTGCAACCGGAGCAGCTGAGAAGGATGCGCGCAAACACACGTCCTCCCCCACGCGGACTGACCAGTCTGGCCTCCTACCCCTCCACTATTCCTGGAGCTTCCAAAGCTGTGGTCCAGGGCCCTCTGCGCTGCCACCCTCCTCCCGGTTGGGCCCCGGGTCCTCTCTCGCCCCGCAGGACAGGGGAAGGCGGGAAGGGGAACCGCTGCCGGGGGCAGGCCGTTACCCTCCGTCAGTCGCGGGCTGCCGGGCTCCCTGCTCCGCTCCGCGGCGCCCATGTCCA